GTCGCCAGTAGTTGCCGCTCTGTCTGTTGGTGTTGCTCGGCTGGTTCCTCCATCCATTGCCATTGTTCCTGTTGGTGTTGTTGTATCTGTTGTCAGGTCGTCTGTCAGTCCATCCCTTCCTCTCATCATCATGCTGACTACGCTGGTCTTGACGGTCATGTTGTCTTCCGGATGGACGGCCCCTCTGCTGATGTTGACGGTCTCGTTGCTCTCTTCGCAGCTGTTTCATGCGGTCATTCGCGTTACGAAGAGCTTCTTCAAATTGCGGCCACGTCAGTGCTTCTCCACGATACGCGCGGGATGCTGACTCATGCGCCATGGTTGCCTTGAACATGTCGAATCTCTCAGGCAATGCCGATAGCATGACGGCGATCATCGTCTCGTCTGGCACTGTTGATCCGACTTCATGAAGGCGGCTGACGAGATAGCTGAAGTCGCCAAGGGCGTCGTCAAGATCGTCCTTGATCATCTTCCAGCTGAAGAATCGCTGCAAGAGCTCGTGCTTGCATACGATACGATCAGGTATGAACCGCTTCCGCAGTTCTAGATACGCCCATGCACCATTCTCGCCGTGCTTCTGGTATGCTTCTTGAATCAGTCGCTTGGCCTTGTCTGCTGTCTGCAGGGCGAGGAAGCCGAACAGCCATCGGAGGTTCTTGGCGTTGGAGCTCTCCTGCTCAATCAGGATTGGCTGTCCCTGCTGGTTCACCACGGGCTGACTACTGCCATCCATCTGTGGCACCGCTATCTTCATCGGCGGGACGTCCTCATCCTTAGTAGGTAGATAGACTTTCACATCCATCTCTCTTGCTGCTAAGTAGGCTCTGAGAGTAAAGTCCCATTCGCGCCACTTGATGTCGTTCTCGCCACTCCTGCCGGTAAAGACGGGGAAGGTGGCCTTTGTCTCGAGATTGAGTGTCATCTCTGCTGTCTGCTTTGTTGATGTTGTTGTTGTCTTTCTTCAAGTACTGCTAGTAGTTGACTGCTGCTGATACTGCGCAAGACACTGATAGACCTGTTAGGATCTGTCAGTCAGCTGGCGAAGACTTCGGCTCAGATAAGCAAGAACCAAGTTGCTGCGCCCATGTGCGAAAAGGCCGGTGAGGACCTTTCCTGTAGTTAGCTGAATAGAGGATCTGCTGGGCGGTAAGTCCCAGAGTAAGAGTGCTTTTACTTTAATAAGACCGATGGACTGGCCAATCAGTCAAAGTTGTTTCTGTCCATGTATGGCATCATGAAGGATGGTCAATACAGATCTCACTTCGGTGATGGCTGATAAGATCGTGCCTCCTCAGAATGCTTTCCTTGTCTTTCCTTGTCTTCTCCTCTCTCCACCCGTTACACAGCAATATACCCTAGCTCACAAGCTCGCAGTGGTTCGTCTTGCCAAGCTGGCAATCCTGACAACGAAGCCGAAATCACAGCAGCACATGAGAAATCAGTGCAAATCACGATTTGGCTGGAATCCATTACCAACGCCAGTCGCAGCTAACGCTTTCAATTTCTGATTCGATTCCAGGTGCTGAACAATAGAAATCAGCGCTGATTTCTACAGAGTGAGTTCCCGTGGGACACGAACCGGTCTGAGCCGGAAGGCGTGTCCTTCACCGGGGACCCTGCTCATTGCGCGAAACGCATCTTACCTGACAAGCTCGCACTTTCCCCGCCGCCGCGACCCTCTCCCCTCTTCCCTTTCTTTCTTCTTTCCCGAGATGCTGTCGGCTCGAAATCGCCAAATTGCACTGCCACTGGCACGCCGTTTCTCGACTGCTTCAACCTCCAATCCAAACATCAGCTTCTTCCGGCGGTAAGAGGGGATGCAAGAACATAGGCAAGAACGCACGGACGGGGTCTGTCAATGGGGTGCGTTTGTGTTTCAGGCCAACAGTTTTGCTCGGGACGGGGCTGGTGGGTGGTGTGTTGATGCAGGTGCGGCCCTCCACTCACACGTGTTCACACCAGCCAGCTGCTGCTCGTATGATTGGTTTATGCAGACGTACTACGGGACAGCGGACGACTTCTTTTCAGGCAAGTACCGCACCAACGCCGACCCCGACGCCCTGCTGGAGTTCTACCAGGCCGAGGAGCTGCTCAAGATATTCGCGTTCCAGCAGTTTCTCGGGCCGATCTTCTTCAAGTTTGTGATGGACGGCATTACGGTGGAGGATCACATCCCCGGGCCCCCCGGCAAGTGGGACGCCCGCATGAAGAGCCTGAACCTGGGCATGGAGGTGGAGTTCAAGCTCACGGAGAAGGAGATGGTGACGGAGGAGGGCCACAAGGTGCTGGGCTCCTTCGTGCGGCACGAGCGCTTCAAGAACTTCATCCCTTACACCCCCATCCTGGTTCGTAGCATGAATGAATGAACACAACACCATGCGACCTATCAAGAGTGCATTTGTGTACGTGGGCGTGTGTGTGTCATGCTGTCTTTCGATCCATCAGCTGTGGGATCAGACCTGGGACTACGGTTTCAAGCGGATGCCGGACGGGAGCTACGAGTGTTTCCATAAGGGCAGACGGTTCTACGGCCCCTTCTTCATGCGGCTCGCCGTGTGGGCCCACCAGACGATCGTCCTCTACCTGTGCAAGAAATACGTCAACAGCGCGACCTTCGGCGAAGAAGAGGCCGACGACGACGAGTGACGAGACAGACAGTCCCGCCGCCAAAGGATCAGACTGCCTGTAGGCTCTGGTGTGTGCACATGTCGGTGCTTGTGCGCGTGTGCGTGTCAGTGCGTGATCCTTCGACTGATTCTTGTGACTGGCTGACTGACTGAATCGCTGTAAAAAGGGATTTTGCTACGAAGGATTGTTGACTGACCCTACATGCTGACGGTGGGGTTTTTGACTCGCCTGGCCGGGTGAGAGGGGACTGACTTGTCTCGACGCTGGGGTGGGATTCTCTAATACCTTCAGACGGCGGCGACGTTTAGGCACTCTGACTCAGGCACACTGAAAATGACCTTCTGCCACGACATCTGCATCACATGAATGCACGCGCGTCCATCGGGGCCATAAGGTTGCGGCTACTGTCGACATGTCGAAACAAGTATTGACTCAGCGTTAGTCTGCAGCCTCACGGCTGCAGGGCACTTGACGGCAGTCTCGCGGTTGAAGACGAATATCCAGCCCCTGTCACGATATCTGCAGACGAGGGCTTCCCACCGGCCGCGAGGGGCGGATGCTTATGCCCGTTGAATTACAGCTTTCTTGCCATATTCAATGGCATGTTCTTTTCTCGCAGACCAATGTCCTTCACACATCGAACTGGATGATACTCGTTTGTACTGTCCACACAGTCCATTTGCCTTCACACACACTTACACACATACACGCACGCACACATAAGACAGACATAAGATTACACACAGCACATGGAGACATGCATACATAATTCATACAGACAAACAGCCAGACAGTGTGTGTCGGCAGAGGCACGACATTCATTCACAGAGACAGACAGTCGGGGATGGTACATACATAAACCAATCAATTAATCAACTATTTTCCAGGATTTCCCGTGTCTCGGTGATGTGCCGAGCGCGATTTCCAGCACCAAAAATCGCCATTTTCCACGGGAGAAAACCGGAGGGCTTCGCCCCTCACACCCCCCCATCTCCTTTTTCAAGAAGTCCCAAACCCTCGACAAATCGAAGGAGTTTTTTCAAAAGTTCGCATATTAAAACAAAGAGAAGGGAGCAATTTTAAAATGTTGCAAATTCAAGGGAGGAGGCTTGCACGGGGTGTGAGAAGCACTGCCACCATGAGTCCATGACGGCCACCTATAGCTCTTCACGAGAAGACAAAGTATGATGACTCGTTATTTCACGGCAAATGCTGCTCGTTGCCTGTTTGCCTCGCTGCTTCTGTTCCGTTTCAGCGGTCCGGATCTCGGCAGTTTGTGGGTGTTTGGAAATGAGGTTTGGTTCACAGTGATCAGCGACGCACGGTGGATCACATGGCACACACAGGGACTAGAGTTTTCATTGAGATAGTGCGTGTGATGGCCTTGTATGCGCTCTCAACGACCTCACCCGCACCGAGGAGATTGAAGCGTGGAATTCATGCGCCTTAGTGGTCAGGTAAGGTCGTCGCCGACTCATGCACCCTTGTCGCACGGACGGAAATGCGGATTGTACGCAAACTGATTGATGCCAATTGCTTGGATTGGCTGCCTACGTGCGTCTCCTCACTTCGCCACGTTCTGTGCTGTTCAGGCTGTCAGTCCAGATGTGGGTGTCATGCACGACTGGGGGGCGTCTCGTTTGGTCGCAGATTCCTCTTTGCTCGTGTCCGTTTGTGGCGTCGTATCAATCCATCCAGACGTGGTGTCTCTGACCGGCCGTCTCTCTCCATCCTCTCTCTCTCTCTCTCTCTGTCTCCCTTTGTCTCTCCCCTCTGGCTTTCGCTACGCCACTGGCTCTTGCTCTGGCTCTCACTCACTCGCACCACTAAAACCGCTTTCTTCTGCGTTGATGAGGCCCCGCCCACTACACTGCACTACACTAAAGGCCCCTCAATGTATGTATGCATGTGTGCATGAATCTCTCTTCTGCATCGTTTCTCTCGTTTGCCCGTCTGTCTTGTCAAGTGGTATCTGTCTGTCTGTCTGTCTGCCTGTCTGTCTGCATGTCACACGGTCGTCTCTAGGTCAGTGACGACCTCTTTGTTCGGCGATCGACTGCCAGTGACGGCCTTTTTCTTCGGCGATCGACTGCGACTGCTAGATCTGCTCCTGTCTGTGGTGCTGCCGACGCTCTCTCTCTTCGGCGATCGACTGCGACTGCTGGATCTGCTCCTCTCTGTGGCGCTGTCGCCAGAGGATTTGGCTTTCTTGCGGCCTTCTCGGGTGGGCGACCTTGTCACCCATATTGCGGCGGTCGTGTTGGTGTCCGCCACCTTGGTATTGCTCCACACATGTCTCAGCTGATTTTGCACACATACGAATGGACAATCGGCAACCCGAAAACTCCCTCACTGGCTCACCCATGTGCGGTCTTCCTGTTCGAAGAAGACGGCCCGCACCCATGTGCGCGCAGTCACTTCGGCCTCTTGCAAGCTCTGAAAGGGTTAAGCACGCACGCCCAGGATTGTTTGTTGTTGTAAGAAGTACATATCTTCTGCATGTATGAGTACCAGCAGTCTTGCGACTTGGTCGGTGATTGAGGCTTTGTTTTTGATGGGCGCCTCGGAGATCATTGTGAGCAGGACTTTGAGCTTCTGTTTGAGCGCTATCTGCTGCTTGTTCATCCAGGTCTCGTATTCGGTGAGTCTACTGCTCGCATCCTCCTTGTCTTTGGAAAAGTACTGTTCGAAGATGCCCTTGTATGCCTGGTCAGCCGGAGGCCGAGAGCGGCGCACGACCTCACAATCGCGGTGGACTTCTTGCACTTGGTGCACTTGGTGTCGCTCCAGTTGTCCTGCTGCTCTTGGAGAAGTTCTATGTCGTTGTCGAGTCGTAGCTGCTGGTTGCGGGCGTAGGTCACGAGTTTGTTTTCGGCATCCAGATCGCTTGTAATCTCATCAGTGTCAAAATCCTGCAGAAGAAACAAGACGGACCGAGGCAGAATGTTATATTAGCGTGTGTGTGCAGTAAAGAGCAGGCCACGGAAGCCAAGCAGGTCAAGAATATGTGGATACGTTAGCACTCCGCTGCATATACTGACTTCGAGAGTCGTACGCAAGGGAGTCAGTTCGAAGTTGGGGCAGTCGCGAGACAGGAATTGGAGGTCAGAAGAGAAGAGGTCTTCCATACTCATGCTCTTGAGGGAATCGAGATGGAACCCCTGAGGGAATGAGTCGCCTGCACATACAATGGAACACACAAGCTGTGTGTTGTAACAGATGTCCTTTTTGTCCCCACCTGACTCGCCCTGAGAGGACAAGGAAGATGGCCATAGAAACGGAAATAAACAGCAGTATCTGGCTGAGTACTTCTTTCATTGGTCTTCCACTCTCTCATTTACCTCATGGTGATCTGAACATACACATCATGCACAGATGAGCTGACAAATGAGAATATGGTGGAGGCATGTATACCGTCCAAGTGCATCCTTGATTGAAGTTCCATGCCTTGCCATCTGGCACACAAAGGAGTATAGAAAGGGAGACAGCCAAGGGAGACATTTCTCGACAGGTCTATGAAGAGAAAACTTTCTGTACTGCCATATAGGTGCTGTGGTATAATCATGGTCATGGTCATGACCTATGAGCAGACAAATGAGAATGTCAGACAAATGAGAATGTGGTGGAGACATACATACCGCCGCTCGCGTGGACCAGTGCATGAATCAGCATGTCCTGATATCTGGCACACAAAGGATGATAGCAAAGGGAAACAGCCAAGGGAGAGAGGGACAGAGGGAGGGAGAGATATTTCTCGACAGGTCTATGGAGTGTGTGTGTCTACATTGGATGATCGTGGTCATGTCCTGCTCCTCCGTGTCCTCCATGGCCGCCGTGCCCTCCATGCCCGCCGTGCCCTTCATGGTGCTTCTCTCCGGGGGGGTAGTCATGGTGCTCCTCTTCTGCGTGTGTGTCGTGGTCGTACAAGTCCTGGAATTGGGAAAGGACACGTGCGCAGAACACATATACACGTGCAGTTGTGGTATGACGCTTGTGTGAGTGTCACCCACCTCTTCATGATGCGGCTCGCCGGGGGGGTGGTCATGATGAGGCTCGTGATGAGTGTCGACGTGATGAGGCTTGTGGTCGGCATGGATGTCTCCCTCATGTGCGTGTTCTGCTCCCTCGTGGCCGACATGAGTGTCGCAAGCATGGGCTGCTTCTTCATGTCCGTGTGGCGCGAAAATTTCTTGAACCATGTGGAACATTTCCCCCAGATGCCCGACCCAAAGGACTGTACCAAGGACCTGCAAAAGAAAGAAGGAAAAGAGAAATGCTTTAATCTCTCTCTCTCCCTCTCTGTGTCTCTTTGGGGTATCACCCTGACGGCGAACGAGCCCGCCTCCGCCCAAGCTTTCTGCACGGGAAGGCCAGAGACACGCCATACAGAGGTGGTCACTGAAGACACGTATAGTCAGGCATATACAAACTGCCTTGATTACCTTCATGCCGCTCATGTAAGACTCCACCTCGGTTGATTGAGCATTCGCACTGACCTCGACAACCCAAAGGGAACCTTCAAGTGTGATGGGAATGGAATTTGCCATCAGAGGCCTACCCGATCAAATCGCCCAGAGTGTCTTCCACACGTGACCGCGTTTTGGGACACTTTGAAAGGACCACTGAGTGCTGCATTCGAAATCAGAAGCAGCGCCGGACAGACTTCTAAGCAGTCATGTGTGTGTTTACCAGTCGGTGAGAGAAACAGAAGTATTGATTTGTTGAGTGAGATTGGACCAGAACGCCTTGTGCCAGGACAGGGACTTTCTTCAGGTCGTAAGCAGCTTGAACGAACGCTGTGGTGTCTGAAAGTAGTACGAATACAGTCACAGCAAGTATGAACAGATTTTTAGAGCTTGTGTTGTTTTGTTTCGTGTTGGGCGGACAGATCGTGCACTGGGCTAATTTGAATGGCGCAAATATCAAGAGAGATACTTCTGATCTAGACAGGATGGAGGGTTCTGTACTGAGCATATGTCCCTTGATAGTTGGAATAGCAGCGCTTTTTCACTCTAAGTCTTTGGCATCTTTTTTCAGTTCTTTGGCCTTTGCGCCCTTGACAACGCTGCGGACGACCGAAAACACTGCGTCGAACGTTTTGATGCGGTGGGCTGCACAAACCACAAACCACGAATCACTAATGGCTACCATCAAGGGGCTTTCGCACACATCCCTCACTTACACATTGTTTCGGAAATGGCTCTGATATAATTTGGCCTCTGGCGTGGAGATATGCACTCCAGATGAGCCGTCGAATTCTGGACCACTGCAAATCAAATCGACAAACATCGAAAAAGTAAGTGGCAGCCACCTTTTGAGTCATTGACCAGCGGAGCGGAAATAGAAGCCGGCTGCAGAAAGGTTCACAGATTGCGACATTGCAGTGTGCCTGTGAGCTCTTTACCAGTGTCTCGATCGTAGTCAGTGTTCTTGGCCACCGTCTTGGACCAGCACACAATCGACGACAGAAGAGCTGACTGATCAAGTCCCCTTTCTTTAGCGTGCTCTGCAGCTCGGAAAGAGCAAAGCGAGAGTTATGTACATAATAGGATACGATCTGTCTCTCAATGTGCACACGGACCTATCACTGTAAAGTAAGCTCCACGAATTTTGCCTTCTAGCTCGCTAAGGGTCTCCGTCCTGCGCTTGTCTGCTGGCATTTTCTCCAACTTTTCAATGAGTGGCTTCCAAGCGTCAACAAGCCCTTGAGCACTCTGCAAAGCATGATAATCAGCGATTTCAGCTGGAATTTTCAATATGATGGAGATGAGCGAGATACCTGGAGAACGATTCCCCCCTTTGTTTTTTGCCACATTGTATCTGTCCCGGCCTCTGCAGCAAGCAGAACACACCATTGTTTCAAAAGTCAGTGATTTGCTGCGTCGTCAAGTCTGTGTCTGTCTTTACTTGCTTTTGGATGCTGTCCGATCATTTGCACTTTTTAGGAGGCCTTTCACCTGCGAAAAACATAACGTGCCAAAGTTGTGTCTAAGTTGGAATTTTTCACGCTGGTAGACGTGCCTCCTTGTGGGGAACGAAACACGTAGCACGGATGTTCCACGACGACTTCGGATCGTAGCGCACGCCGACAGTGAGACCTGAAGAGATGAATAAAGGAAGCATATTGAAGCCCTTCTTGAAGCCCCTCTGTCCACATGCCTCTCTTTACCATAGAACGATTTCTACTGAAATTGATTTGAGAGAAATGAGCAAGGAGGAAGAAGATTGCATTCAGCTTGGGCCTATATGAGTGTGCGTCTTTGTTTACTTGCACTCCTTCCAAGGCACGTTCATTTATGTTCTTCTGCTTGCGCCAGACCCACCATTTGTATTCCTGCATAATCAATCCGGCCGACAACACCAAAGTGGAAGTGCTGATGATATGATAGCTGGTGATATGATAGCTAACTCACCCTCAGGGCAGCTGGGTCGTTTCGCCAGTCTAGACCGTATTTTTCCTGTCACAGACACATCATCTTGGTCCGGAACATCTTCTCTCATTTAAGTGCATCTCTCATTTAAACGCACCACGAAATGTTTTTCCTTCCCTTTTCCCTTCTTCCATTTCTTGTAAATCTGACAATGTGGTTCAGGGGGGAGAGATAATTGACAGATGGCATCCATGCACTCGCTTGTCCAAATCGCCTCCATGAATCTATCCACATATGCCTATACACAAAGGGCACGCTCACTCATCCGATGAGCACACCCCAGCCCCGTCCATCGCCCCAACACCACGCCATGACTGCCTCCCGCCCCTCAAACACAGGCTAGCAGCCCGCACCAATGCAACAGACAAACGAGCACGCAGCCACCCAT